CAAAACGAAAAAGTTCTTTTTTTATTATTCATTACACATAACCCCGTGACGACCGTCTGCGTTGGTATGATGCAGGTCGTCCGCGAGTCGGAAAAATCCGGTTTTTACCTCCCGTTGTCACAGATGAAATAACCGTTGAGCTTCAAATTGTCTTGGTCGCTGTTGATCGGTGATCCGCTCTTGTTGTAGTAACATTGGTACAGTTCTGACATATTGGAACAATGGCCCAACCTACAGGCCATGATGCCCGTGAGGCCCAGACACTCTTTGTTGTTGTTGCAGTTGTACCGCTTCAGCGTATCTGGATTTGCCTGCCAAAAAAAAAAAAAAAAAACGCGCGAGTTCAGACAACAGAGTTGCATATTTTACACATTTCATGAGCCGGCCAGTCGTAACGGACCGGTCGATCATTGCAGAGTATGCGTTACCGCGTTTTTTTATTTATTTGGACTATAATTTTTGCAGATGGTCGACTTGAAACACATTTGTTATACTATAAATGTCTATTATACTCGATATAACTTAATATTATATAGAAGTATAATTTTATCGTCTACGCTAATACATCGGGGCTATTCGGTGATAAAATATATTCTCGTTTTGAATAAAAATAATAATTGCGTCCCGGTTATTTATTCAATCACGAAATGCCGCGTGCTAAACCGGGTAAGGTTAGGTTTAATTATATAACTATATATCGCTCTACTGCATGTAATACGTGTATGTATATAACGGCAATGTAAAGTTTTAATACAATTTTTTTCTGTATTCCCCACGGTCGACCTATATGACTTGCGTGACGGAATTGTATTTTTTTATGGACGGAAAGCACGGCGTTTTATTCGAAATGTTGCACATACCTATAAATACATCAGAGCTTACGTTTGGTTTCGACGATAAATATAAATGTTCGGCTTTAGGCGGGTTATACTTAAACACGATGACCACAGCACGTGGTTACGGTGGTTTTGGATGCGGTAGCGGTGCCGGTGGCGGGATTAGTCGACCGCGGGTCGAAATATATTTTACATGTATAAACAATAAGTTGTAAAACACGCAATAACGACGTGGCCGAGTGTGGGGAGAAAAAAAATACGGAAACAAAAACTTAACACCGACAGCGGATTTTTGGAAACTTGCCTGCGGACATGAGACGCTCGTGAGCCGGGTGCAGTTCTCAACGCCGATTTCGGTGCCGTTTTGTCGCACCGTAACCATGTACTGCGGACAGTTGCCTGACGGTTTCGTCAGACACCACTCGCCGCAGGACGCCCACTCACAGTTGTTGGACACCGTCGAGTTGATTGTCTGGCACATTAGCGGCACAGTCTCGATGGCTGCATTGAACGCCTTGTAGCCCGGCACGTAGATGGCCACCGACAGGTACACCAGTGACACTGAGCTGAGCACGAACGTGAGCTGGCACACGCATATCAGACCGCATATGTGCCTGTCCAGTTCCGGTATGGGTCTCGGGGGTGGTTCGTGTTTCTTCTTCCGGTTACTGCCACCGCTGTTTCCGCCCCGGTCTTTGGCCGCCATAGAACTTTGGTGATTTCCTACGTTGGCATGTAGATAGTAAACGGTAAGCTTATGATATAGGTGTATAATAATATTATTATGATATACCTACCAATGATTCATTATGTTATGAACATTTTTTTTTTATAACTCTGACTAGTCCTATTTTTGTTATTGTGTTTTCGTCTTCTATTTGTGTGCCTGACACAATTGTTGTGTAATCGGGAGCGTTTAAAAGCTTTAAAGAGTTAAAAAAAGTTCATTCATTCCTTGTGCATAGAATTCTTTGATATTTTTCCAATCGGTATATTTTGTCATATTTAAAAACGGTGTAGTGTTAAATAGATTGTGTGTACGAGTGTATTGAAATACTAGGTTTGTTCGAATGAACTTTAGTGATTGGCATCTACTGCCGGCGCAGTGTTTAAAAGATAAACGTTAAAAGTCAAAAATCGATTGTTTAATTAATTTTTACTTGTGTAGGTACTTAAAATAATTAAATATGGATATATATCTATATTATATTTACTTAGTTAATGGAAACGTTACAACCTTCAGTATTACTACACTAAAAACAAAGTTAATGATTAAAAAAATACTGGCCATTGTCTTTTTAAATTTACTTTCCTAGACTTAATTATTGTTTGTTATAATGTATTTAAATTTTGCTTATATTATTGTTTATTTAAATCGATTAAATGTTTATGACAATATTATAACGCTAACATTACATTATGGTATAATAATTTATATACTATTATTTTGTGTAAGCTATACAATTCGGTTAAGTATCTAATTTGGCTAGTGTCAGGTTATTGACCCTTAAATTATAATAGTGTATTATTATTATGATTACATGTGACCTTTAAGTATAAGCTTAGCTTTTTTGTAAAATGAATCGAGTATACCAAACAGTTTACTTAGAAAACGAAAATTATAATGAAGTAGATAACAATTTTGTTTATGGTTTGGAATAGACTTTTTAAAGCTTATTATCTGCAAATATGCATTTATGAAGAAATTCAATATTTTTAATTTTCAATCTTTTGCATTATAAATGAATATAGATGTATTATTTCATGATTTTATACATAGATGGAAAATAATAATAAGTGTATTATTCTAATATATTTATTTATATTATATTAGTTATTATTACTGTCATATTTTAAAATTAAAAATAATTTATATTTATCATTCAACTATACGTTATGATAAGTTTTCCATAATATGAACTATTTAAAAGGAAACTGTAATACCTATGTAATACGCTATCAATATTGGAAATAGATTATGTTTATCTTGGTAAAAAGTATTCGTATACTAAATAATCCATATACCTATACTTTATATTATGTAGTGCTAGTGCATTAAATTGTGTGTATAGGTAAACGAATTATTTAATATATTAAACTTTGATAGTTTTAATTATTAATGAAACTTATCAAAATTGTTCGGTGACAGCCTTGTTGGGTGGTTTGCAAAATTTTCTTTCGTGGTAGTTATTAAGAATTTTTTTATATTTAGTAAAAAAAAGTGTAAAATGAAACCGAAAGTTATCGTTATACTTTAAAAGATGAAAATTATATTTTTAGATTTGTTTTTAATGCACTACAAACTTAAATATTTTTTTAACGTCCCTTAATATAAAAGTAAAAAATTTTAAAATTTGTTAATATGATAACTAAGGCTAGGATTTATATGCAATAAAAAAATTGTAAAATATGTATTTGATTTATTAAAAATATGCAATTAATATTAAATACGCCAAAAAATATGAAATATACACTTAAAAAAAATATTACGTTTAAAATTAATTGTCCAAAATATACAAAATAAAATCACTACTGTTTATTTTATCATGAGGTGATTCGTGAACATTACTTACAAAAGCAATAAACAGAAGTTAGAAAAAAAATATACTGTTGCATATAAATCCTAGTCCTAGTGATAACTATGCAATTAATATTTTTCTAAGTAAAATTAGAAAATGTTAAGGTATAATTAAATAATTGTTGTTTTATATTTGAAAATAAAGACCAACATTATTATTTAATATGTTATATCTGTATTTGTATTTATTGATAAGTGATGATTATAAACTAATAATAATTTGCCCGGACTTTGATGGCTATTATCACGGTTGTCAATTTATTAAAAAAGTTTATTAATTAATTAAAATTTAGTAAAAAAAAAATAAAAAATAAAAAAAATAAAAAAGAATATTGTTGGCAATTTAAATTAGGTAAATTAAAATACAATATATCATAAATTTACAAAATATATGTATAAGTAGAACTTAATATAAAATACGCTTTGACCAGGGTTTAAATTCATAACTTGTTATTTGCTTATTTTAATTTTAAATTAATGAGGCCCAGTGTTACTTTTTAAATTAATATAATATAATAATTTTAGGATACATACATATGTTTATTCGAAATTGAAATGAATACTTATTTGGCAGTGAAAAATGATAATATTGATAACATAAGATTACTTGTGATTAACCGTCATAATATTACAGCTACATCACACATACATATTTATGTTTATAGAGCGATGTTATAATATAAAAATCATTGAAATGGTGTATACTTACAGTTTTGTTCGTTTCTTGAGTATTCTGTCGAATGTTTTGGTGCATATCAAAATTGAAATATATTTTAATTACAATTTTTGTTTATCTGGTTTTTTTTCGTTTCATATATCTTTTAGAAATTGAATTTACCGTTGATCTGTTTTAGTTATTTATATTTATCGATTATACGATTTACCCTTACATGTATGCCGATACATGTCCGGTCGAAAACTGTTGCATTACAAAAGCATATTTGAACGGAACACGTAATTCCAATAGAGTGACACTCCCCTGTTTATTCGATGCCGCCAGCGGGGAACGGTTCTAACCACAACGAACCCTGGTGGAGGTTTTTCTTTCTGCACATGTCAGCCCCTCTCTTGTACTGGGTCAAATCGATTGTATTTAAGACGATCTCGCGTTGAACGTCCCAATGAATTAATGTAAGCATTATGCTTGCTGCAGTGGTAAACAATATCAATACATCAGTTTATGCCTATAGAACAGCAGTGCAATCAAAACGATACACATTATTTTTCTGAAGTAACGATCTATACTTATTTGGGCGTGCATTATTATAGGGTAATGATAGTCGTGGAATGTACTCAAATTCAAAACCTTATAAAGTTTATTTCATAAACATTTTATGTATAATATATATAAACAGTCATTTTTATATATATGTATTAAATAGACAACTTATTTACGAACAAGCAGCAAAAAATATATTTTATAATTATATGTATGTACCTATATTATAATTATACGTCTAATAACTATCATAAAAAGTGAAATATACATGTATAAAAAATAATGTATTTAGAATTAAAGCGATTTGTTTTTGTAGGATTTGTAAATAAATATAAATTCATATTAAGTAAAAAAAAAAAAAACATTTTTAGATAGAAAATAGTTTTTGGCGTACACAGTTATTTAAATTACATTTGGGTGAAGTTAAAGCGGAATACAAACGTAAGTATAAATATAGTTAGACCGAATTAGTGAACTGAAAATTTAGCACTCGCGCCTGTGCCTGTAAAAAAGCCATTATTTAATAGCAAATGCGTGTGTCTATTGATCAATAATCGCCATCTTCTTCGTCTGTGCTGAATGGTCTTTTGGACAATTTTCTCCTGTAAATATTTGGGATAAAAATATGTTTTTAGATACATAAAATATTATTCTATTAAATAACAATTAATATTGGGTGTAATTTGTATAATACAATGTACAAATAAATAAATAATTTTTTTATTTTTACAATTTAATTTAAAAAAAAATTAAGAAAAAAGTATAATCATTTGAATTTATAGTATTCATTTTTATGAACACTAAACCTTGGCATAGGTCATTAGCAGGTGCTGAAATTTATTTATTTTTAATTACATTAATTTTTTTTTTTTATAAAAATTATAAAAATTATTTCATTAATATGGCATTTAGTAATACTTTTTTTTTTGAAAGGTACAGTGATTGCTTAAAATTATATTGGTGTTGCGTTATTTTCTTTTTTACTTAATTGTAAACGTTTTACTTATTTTTAAAAACCATAAATTGAATGATTTTAATATGAAAGTAATAAAACATAATTGCGTTTATATATTGTTTGAAACTTTCTATTTCTTTACTTAATTTAATTTAAAAGTTAAATACTGTGATTTTTATTTTTCATTTTGGAATGTTTCCAAAAATTTTTTTCATGAAAATCTTTTATACACTTTTATAGAGTGTAGTATAAATAAGAGTATATATGTTGGACATTAAACTTAACATTATAGCATTGTCGACGACAATAAATTGTCGTTATTGTCGAATAAATAATTTATAAGTTAAATTCTATGTATGTAGTTGTTATAAATGTATAATATATTATATTATATCTCTAATATAATGTTAGACGTATACAAGGAGTAGTATAATGATTTTATGAAATACATTTCATTCGGGTCGTCTGTACGATATTTTCTTGGTTTTGTTTGGTTCGTTCGGTATTATTATTATTTTTATTACATTTATGTGAACCATTTTTCTTTTATCGTACAATTTTAAGTTAGATTCGATTGTGTGTGTTGCGTGGTACGACGGTAGACAAAATTTTACGTGAAACTACGTATATTTAAAACGCGTGCGATCGCTGTAGTTATGTAGCACTACTGCAGTCAGATATATGACATATGAAAAATAATTTGTATATATATATTTATATTATTATTGTGTATTAATATTGGTTTAAAATATTATGCTATCATAATAAAAATAGATGTCTGGATTGCATTAACAATATTTAGTTTGTGAATAAAAATATATCTATGATCATAAAAAGTTGGTTAGGATCGCGAATTTGTGATTAATGTAGTTGATGATAAAAAAATAATACAGTCTATAGCAGGGATTTTGAACCGTTTTCGAACTGTGTTTTGCTATTAGTTTTATTAGTTTCAATAAAAATGCACATGTTAGTAATATATATATATGTATTATTAATATTTCGTAGGGGTATCTTAAAACAATTTTTTTTAGGGCCATATAGGGGTGATAAACAAAATCGCTAAAATGGCACACTTCGTCGTGCCATAGGTTTGATTATGGTCACGAGATTGAAATAAACTCAATAGGAGTGCCGGCCGATTATCTATGCACAATGAAAAAGAAATGCTCACCTGATCACTAGTTGTGGGTTTTCATTTTTAATCGCCGCCGTCTTTCTCTTGTCGACCATAAACTCTCTTCTGAGTGCTGGACAGTACCAGTAACACAGCACCGTGCATGATAGGACAAAAAGTGTCCAGGGTATGACTACGGCGGCTACAAGGGTCTTGATAGTGTGGTGCCAGTCGTAGTCAGCCACCACCCTATCCGGGTAAGCGCGGCTGTAGTAGCACGGGAACACTTTCAGAGCGACTTTCGACTTCTCGTCCACTTTTTGCCCTCGCCTGTCTACTGCCGTCGTTTGCTGTGTTCCGTCAGATGCGGTTTCTAACAATATTGGCGGAGAAGGTGGACCGGGTGACGTGTCATTACCGTGCCTGTACAGTTCTCGGGTCACCGGCTGGTTGATGTGGTTGAACTCAGGGATATCCTCTTGATTGATGTGACCGTACTTCAGAGCGAACGTGGTGCAGTTAACAAACGGTGGATAACCGCAGCCTTCGGTGTTCACCAAGAACCGGACTACCGTACCTGCCCATTTCAGCGACTCGGGGGACATATGATCCTACAACACGTCAAAATACTTCTTTACAACGTTATATCGGTGTATTTTGATAATCAGAATTAATATTGATTGTTGAATGTACTGCAATATAATTATTAGGCGACCATGTAATAAATATATGATAGCAAGTACGTTATAATATTAGACAGAACTTTGTAATCCATTAGTTTTTATCGTCTCATGAAAATAAAATCCTCTTAATCGTTTGTAAGAGCGATCGAAGATTGGAGAGATTTGAATGAAAGAAAGAATACCTTAAAGTATTAAAATGATATGTATATAGATAATTTATATAAATATTCTTTGTAATTGATTTCATAACAATTGACGTTAGTGAATTTATAGTTAATTTTTTTATATACATATTATTTTTTAAATATAAAGTATTATTACTGCAGGAGTTTTTTTCTCATGTGACAAATGAAATTAGCTAGAGCGTAGTTTATATCAGTTAACTTAATAATAAACATTTATTGGTTACCGGTTTCGGATTCAATCACCACATAATTTATTAATCTTTATGATGGTTTTTGTTTAGGTAACGATGAAAAGCGTCATATATTTTAGTCGTTTCGCATCGTTCACAAAAATTAAAAATTCATTTTAATTAGTTCTAAAATTTTATAGTTTTTGACATTAACCTTTATTATATCGTTGCTCATAAGACAGCCCAACGTTGATCAATTATTTAAGCTTAAGACGTCAAAGTTTTACAATGTTTAAATTAATTTATTTTATACCATACCTATACTTTTTTCACATCAAAAATTTCTTATTTGTTGTTCATAATAGTTAATAGTTTTTTTTACGTTATCTTATGTTAACAGTTGAGTCAGATACACAATACACATTCTTTAGAATTTTTAACGAATTTATTGCTATTGTTTTAATTATATGTAGTGAATATATAGTTAATTGATTATCTTCTTTTGTTTCATTAGTTTTTAGTTTTGACATTATTATTAGGGTATAAAAATATATTTATTTATAAATAATTTAAAGCACTTATTGCATTTAACCGATATTTTAATAAAAATATGTATGAATAATGAATATTGAATATGAAATATCTTTATGTGCATTTGAACTATGTATTACTTTTCTATTAAATGTATTTAAATTAAATTCGTGGATTGTAAAATAGTAGAATAGAGAAATATTTGTTTTTATTCTTAAAGTATTTACCATGAATTTTTCTATTATTTTTTTTTTTTTAATACTTAATATAATTAATAGGTTTTAGCGGAGATATTTTTTCAAGTTTTTTAATTTACAGTTTAAAAATGATTGTTTCTAGTTTAAAAATAATTCTTGCGATAATTTGCGATGATTAGACACATTATCACTAATGCAATTGATCAATCGTCAATATAAAGAGGTTTTATCCATCTACCTACATGATACCCTGAAGTGGATTAAAGGGGGAGCAGAGGGGGCTCAGTACTCTCTTTGACAATCCTATATTTGTGTAATAATGTGAGTTGATGATATTTTAATTGTTTTAAACTTTTTTTATAAATTATAAATTAAATTATACTTTTAAATTTTTCATATTAGAAAAATTGAATTTATTCTTTATTTCAAGGTCTAACATCAAATCCTGAATATTGTGTTTACAAAATTAATATTAAAAATGTAGGCCTCCCCCCTCAAAAATAAATCCTAGATTCGCTACTAACAATGCTTACTCTGATGACCGTACCTAACCTATCGTAACCTATTGGTGTTTGCATTCAACACGTTTTTTTCAGTATTGCTTATGTCTCTATATAAGTAGGTATAGTTGCCAAATAAAAAAAAAACGCAATTTTTTATAAGTATACACTCTTTGGTTTCGTGCCTGTTTGTATTGTTGATACGGCGTCAGTGAATAGTTGACGGTGATCTGATGGCACCGCGTAGTGGCCGACGTGCAGCCTTCCCGGCACGAGGACCACGTACATTTGCTCAGGCCCGCCGCGAACACGTGCTCATGAAGCGCGCACGTGCCGGGCTCGGGTGCATATCGGGCGATCAGTCGGGACACTGCCGGGTCGACAACGAACGGCACGAGGAACAGGAACACCATAAACGACAGCACGGCCGTAGTGCCGAGGCAAAGGCTCACTTTGGGCTTAATGCGCTGACAGAAGCTGTCTTTAGCCGGTTCGCCTAGCAGTCTCGACCCTTCGTCCTGGCTGGGCTGCCTACTCCGCATCTGTTTCTCGTCGTTGGCGACTGCTTCAGCCATCATTTTGTTTTGTTGCTATCTGTCGGGGACAAAAGAAAAATAAATCACTGGTGTTGATGATTATAGGTGTGCGTATTTCAACTGTGGTCGGTTGATCAGTATTTTTTAGGTAATTGATCCGTGTATACATAATATTGTAAAAGTGTTTGAAAATATGCAAATCTAAAGGTCTAGACGACGCAGGGAAAGCGTACCTCCGTATGTATACCTATTTGCATAAAAATTCAAAAAATTAAAATTTTAAAAGTCTAATAAGTAGCTTAAATATAAAATTTAGTCAGGTCTGCTTGTTAAATCACTCTGTATATTTTATAATATGAAATCAATCAAATTATCTTGGGAATAAAATGTATTCAAACAAGATAATACCTATTTATTTTATTCATTAATTTCATTTAATTTTCAGTCATTTATTTTTGAATTTCATCTTTACGATTCCACATATATTTTTACTAATACACAGTAATCAAACAAATACAACGTAGTAATAACATATTTTAATAGTTGATTTTGAACAGTTATTGATTTAGCCTGATGTAAATTTTCATTTGGTAATTTTTAAGTTTTGTATTAAAAAATTTTTTCGTGAAATATATAAGTATAAATATTTAAAATGATATTCAACTTTTTGCTTTGAATAATATATTTCATATATGCTAAAATTTACGTATTTACCTATTTCTTTTAATCATAGGTATTTATTAATAATCATGTGGAATATTTTTAGAATTTTTAAAATCACTTGGATTGCATTTTTAAAACTATTAACTATAATAAACTTATAGTATGATTAAAAAAAAAAAAAAAACATTTTAACAATATAATAATTTATCGTGTATATTTATAAGTATAATTTACGTCGATTCAATTATTGTTAAGCAATATTAATTATGCGTACATATAATTATATTGAATACGAATATATATATTTTATATTAGCTGTTCGTTTTAAAAAAATGTCAAAGGGCATATTGTTATTAACAATATTATTAAATAGCTTGCGTGATTAATCTTGTTTACAAAATTGGTGCAAATCACATTATTCTAGACCATATTTTATTGATACGGGCGAGATTTTTTATAGAACAACGACAACGTAAATAATACAATATATAATACATAAATTTAAAACCTTGATCTATAAGCGCATCGTTTTAAAACTATACTTATAATTAATACTCAATTACGTTCTATTTATACCACTAAAAATGCTTTTGTATACATGTTGGGCGTATATGCACTATTGTAAACATTATAACAATATTTAACGTATATAATATAACAATACAATTATAGATTACAATTAATACAAACTTAATATTGAACAATTTATTATTTCAAAATGGTATCTTATAGTATAAAATTATATATTATATAATATTTATGCGCACCTATACTGTTTGTATATAATAATTATTAATTATATTTTTGGTGCTATTGCTTTTTTGTTTTAAAGTATAACAAATAATATGTCTTGTCGTATATTTAATACACACACACACACATAAATAAATATATATATATATACAATATACATATATAGATTTAAATTAAGCTTATTGTTTAATATTATCGTGTGTAAAAAAAATATAAATTTTTCAAAAATTAGCGACGCAATAAGGGTAAGGATGTGTCAAATCACAAATATTTATTTATGTGTAAAGTTTGCGAAGTGCATTGAATTATATTTAAACGAGTGAATATAATTTAATCTCACTAGTAATAGTTTTTTTTTTTTAATATTTTAACAATCACGCGTTCCCCTCACTGATCCAGATTTTTGTCATGTATGAAGCTTATTTTTTAATGTAAGCTGTCCGGATCATGGTGAAATGTAAGCTCTAATAGTCTGGCAACGAATACATCTGTTGCTGACGAGTAGGGCTATCTTGTAAGAGGGGAATGCCTGGAAAAAATAAACAACAAACATAGTTAGATTTGACGAAACAGAAAAATTATACAGTATTTTAGAATTAATAATAGTTTCCTGGACATAGATATATTAGTAATTTTCATATTAGAATCATATTAGGCGTAATAATACTATTATTGTAATATACAAGATAACATAGACGTTCTCAATACTTCAAAGAATTGGGATTGAAAATTGTTTTTTAGAGGGAGCTGTTGTCCGAGGACAACAATAGAATAAAAATATGTAAATAATACACTTGAATTGTATTAACTTTTTCATTATAAATAAAGAAAATGAGCCGATGATGATAAATACTATAGCGGAACTAGCAAGAAAATGTGATTTCATGATTTGTGTAATACTATAGATTATTAAATTTTCCACCGATTCATAATATCAAAAACGGCTCGAATATCTCCATTTACCGTCATAAAGTGGCTGAAAAAAAAGCCAGCCCGCATCAGTGAAAACACTGGTGATATAAGTAATTCTGGACGGAAAAGGCGATTTTTGTTGACTTATACGATTGGTATGACTCAATACGTGATATTATTATGCTGTGTTGTACTCACGTAGCGAATCTCAGAGAGACGTGTTGTCCAAGTCGACGGTGGATGGTCGGCGGCCTGCGATGCTGTCTAGCTCGCGGTCATTGAGCGGAAACAGCGTTCTGATGCTTTTGCGCTTGAATCGCATCTTGGCGTCGTCGCCTACCTCGACCGTCCGCTGGCAAAGGATGAGCGTTAAGCAAGATATGACGAGCATGACTACCGGTACCACGGACGCTACTAGGAACTCCTTGTAAGTGCGGCCCAGATCGAACCGAACGACGGCCAGCTCGGGTATGTCGGTGGCGTAGTAGCATCGAAACCTGGCGCGGGCGTTGTGATCGGAACCGTCCTTGCCATATCGCCGGATAAACACGTCGCACTCGCCGCGGAGCGTGTTAACGCAGCCCTCCAGGTTGATGTGCAGGTGGCTGTCTTTTGCGATGAGCAGCTTGTGTTCGCGAGGCGCCACCAAATCGCCGGCAACGATCGGCCGGTCGTTATGCGCGTTTAGATTGGTCAGGTGCGAGAAGTTTGCGAAGTCGGCCAGCACGTCTTGCCGCAGCAGCGACCCGTTGACGCAGTCCGTGGCCAACAGATCTCCAGCGGACCCTCCCAACACCACGCTCATGCACGACGCGATCAGCACGTCGTCTTGTTCCTCGGACCATATCCGCTGACGTCCAGTGCTGCTTCCGCCGTCGTCAACGTCCCGTGGTAACGGGTCGCCGTCCATGTAACCGGGCAAGTGAGCGGCCGCGTCGCACCGCGCCAAAAACGTCCGATCGCCGCTCAACACGATCACGTTCTTGTTCCTGGTCGGTATGTCTACGCACCGCCGGTCGCAGTTGTACGGCTCCAGAATGCGACTGCACTCTCCCCGCGTGCAACTGTTTAGGCCTGCAATGGCCATGCACGTGATCTTTCCCCGATACTCGTTGCATTTGAGCGGTGGCTCCGTGTTCCGGAACTCGCACCGGAACGCGTCCGTGATGTTTATGCACACGCCGTCAGTGCAGTTGAACGTACCGGTCAGCGTCTTGCACTCGTCTCGAATGCACGTGTACCGCTTGGCGTTCTCCGGGTCGAACCCGAAGCACGTTTTGTTGACGACGTGCGAACAGTTGTGCAACAATAGCGCCGACCCGTTTTGCCGGATGTTGACGTAGATCTGCGCGCAACCGCCGGACGGCTTGCTCAAGCACCATTCGCTGCACGAGCTCCAGTCGCACTTCTGCGACGATACGTTCCTAGTGGTGGTGCATACCACCGGATCCTCCAATATGCCCGACTTGAACTCCCGCATGGTCGGCATGTATATGGCCACGGTCAGGTACACGATGGCCACGCTGCTCAAGACGGCCGTCATCTGGCACACGCATATCGTGCCACATATCCGAGTGTCCTGCGGTGGAACCACCAGATCTTCGACCGGTATCGGTTTCTTTTTCGGCATGATCGCGACCGGCACAATGACGACGTGTTATAATATGCTATGCGATATTGCCGTGAAACCCCGTGGTCGTGGCCACTGCCTGAACCGCCCGACACGGTGACGACGACGACAAAAATAACAACAACAACAACAACAACAACAATGGTACACCCCCCACGCGTGATACCGCCGAACGCGAATAACCAGGCCAAACGCAGTGGTGCACACGTATCAAAGGTGGCGCGGCGGCCGGGGTTCACCGTCGCAGAACGGACCGGCGCCTCGGAATCTAGACCGCCGCGGAAAAATCAATAAATCCAGACCGTCGCGCGAACAGATAACCTCGACGCCAACTTTTGTTATCACGTTTTCGGCTGTGTTTTTTTTTCCGTTCGCTGATAACGATTTGGGCTCGTTTTCTGTTTTTCGTTTTTCTAATAATCATGACTTCGCCGTTCGTACGCTTCCGGTTGTTGGTTAGCGACATTGCCCTGCCGTCCGCTGCTCACCGAAAATATTAGAATTGACGCTATATCGTCGATATAATACCGCTTCTGACGACCCCGAGCTCAAGGCCAACAACTTAAACTTTTACTATTAAAAATTATCCACACAAAAGCTTTACACCACACGATATCACGCCGTTATCACGACCTTTTGTGATTAGGTCAATGTCGTCATTTGTATAATATGTGACAAGTATATCTATTGACTACCTACCTACTTTTTATGATTTTTTGATACGCAAATCCCGTTCTGTCGTATAATACCCTACGAGTTATTATTAATTATTTGGACCTATAATATAAAATTTATCTTATATACGAACAGTATAAAATTGAGAAACGCATTAGTATGATATATTATCATATAATATACGCCTTTCTACCATTAAAGAATCCGATCACGATTTAAATGTCAAAAACACACGAAACCATCGTATGCCTGTAAGTGTAAGCTACCGATCATATCGTGTATGACGATATAATATGATTACTTTTACAACGTACAATAGTATTAAATATCGTCGAATAAATTATAGTATTGTTATTAGCGCGCACGTGCTATAAATCTTACCGGGAAAGCTTGCGACGTTCTTGTTATGTCTACGATTCGGTTTAGTCGACTGACGGACTTTTGTGATCTGACCAACAAGCCGTTGGCGAGTGTTCGGGCGCTATCTATACATCACTTGCGTGAGTGGTGGTAATACGTCTAGTGTTTTACTCCGAGGGAGAGACGGTCTTGGCAGTTTTTGACGTTTATAGGTAGAGCCACGAGTTTATATTACACGTCCTCGTCTAGTCAAATTATTGTAAAATCGACACGATATCACACGTCGTCTGTTAATTATTTTTATGTACTTAGTTTTTGTTTGAATTTGAAATATTTGTATTTTCTTATGAGTCTAAATGTCGCGTACTATTTAATCAGGGGTGCGCTCGAAGGGAAGTTAAATAAATGTATCGATAACAATTGTGAATAAGATTGGTCGTCTACATGGATGAACTTTTTTGTATTTAAAAATCCCTCCCTCCCCCACTGTATGTGGTTGTATGTAAATAATAATCGGAGGACGAGGCACATTATTTTGGACGAATGAATAAAGCTAGCCTCTGCAAAAGTTTAATAAAACGTTCACCTATGGGTATTCTGCTGTATCATGCAATTAAATAAGGAAAATCATTAATAAAACGATACATGTTTACTTGGGTCCTCTTTACAACGATAAAATAATAAACATCGATGAAGAATGCAGACAATACGTCTTGGTCGTTGCTAACGAAACACTAAATGTCAAAGAAAATGTATTTATCTATTTCGACACCTCTCATTTATAATTTATAGAGGGATGTACAACAAATATGTTTGATTTTTTGTTTTCGGTTATTGCAGACACACTATATAATACAGATTTCCTTTATTTTGTTTTCTACTATAAAATTTTATTATAGTCGCTTAGTATTGAAATTCAACGGTCTAGGATTTTGACAACCATTTTCAATAAAATATTGAATATCATTGTATTTATAAGCAATATAAAAAATGGTAAGGTATGCATTTAATTTTATTATATTATGTTGAAATATGCAATAAAATAAATAACGAATTTATCGATAACTTTCAAACTATCATTAAGTGAAAGAGAAGTATCTTTTATAAGTTTTAAAATAAATTATATTAAGTTACTTTTTATATAAGCTAAATTATTTATGTTAATTGAACTTTTTTTAAATAAATCCATACAATTTTTACATTTTTTTCATCAAAGACAAAATTACCGTTTTTACTTAATTGAAATTAGGAGCGTTATTTAATCATTACACTGTACTTTAATTTAAAAAGGCGTACCTAACATAAATCGTGCTATTTTTGTGTTAATACAGTTAAAAATAAATATACTAAAATATGCAAAATAAACAATAGATTGTTTGTTTCAATATTCATGGAATTACTAACCAAATTTCTAAAATAATGATATACAAAAAACATACTAATGTATATTATAAATCTAAGTTTCAGTTATTTTGAGGAGTATTACATTTTTTTTTTTTTGGTTGAATAAATAAAAGAGATATTTAATAATATTATCAGTAAGCGTGATGATGTTCATCTTATAATCATATGCAAAGGTTGGGTACCATCAAATTCAGGTACGAGCACCTTTCAATAGTTGCAAGGTGGCCTCATTCACTCTTGAATATATTACAAAATTATTTTACGATGGAAATGCAAATATTTCATTTTGGTATTCTATTTGGAAATATATAACTATAGTATGTTTTATTTGTATTGAAAAGTTTTTTCAATATTTTCTGTGTTTTATAAGAGTAAAAGTTTTTAATTAATTGTGTTAAATAACTATTTTGTAAAAATTTGTAATTTATAATCGTTAAACAGTAGGTATAATATTTATATATATATATATATATATATATATGATAGACTACCAAGTGATGTAGTACAACATTAAAGTGTATTATTTAATATTTATAAAAAAATTTAGTATAATGTTACCGAATCAAAGAAAACAATAGCTGAATAAATTATTATTTCTTGTTCAACAATTAATAGTTTTTTATTTTGTTTCTACTTTTCAGACTATTTGAATTCGTCCGATCATAATTTATTGTTTTTTAATTATTTCTGGAACAAGATAGCTATGATTATACATTATTGTAAATTTCTTTTTTTATCAGTACTTGACATTTTTATATGCTTCAATTATTTCTAATGGTATTTTTTTTTATTGATTAGATAACCAATGAAAAAGTAAATACTAGATGGATTATGTTGTATTGTTTTTATAATATTTTAAGTTATTACTTATAGTTTTAGAAAACTTTAAAAATCATAAAAAATATTGCTAATGTTTGCATGATTATATTTATGGTGTAACATCATATCTTCGTAATCCTTAGTTATTTTATCGTAACTCAGTGTAATAATCATAGAAGTACGTGATTAAAATTGAAAATTTATTTTATTTCGTAAGCACCGATAAATATGTAAATTCTATAATTTTTTTCTGGTCCGTTCACTTCACATTCAACTGTTATAGCATAATAAAATAATGACATTAAATATAATTAATACTTTTTTTTTCAACTACATATTATTGTGTACATCATTTTAGTCTTTAGAAACTAAATACTCGATTAATTTATATAGTTTTCAATATCCATTACAAATGTATTGTTTAACTATTTGTTGCAAATGTTATAAATTGTTCTTTTATATTTTAGTGGGTTTAAAATATGTTAAACATAACGAATATGTTTTGAAATTAAATCAGTCTACAGGGTTTGATTTTATTTACAAAATAATATTGCTTCTTATCATAAAAATAACGGGGAAGAGAGTACACTTGTTATTATAAATTTAGTTTGACAGACAGATAGGAAATGAAAATAATAATATTTTGTATTTGACAAATTTTTTTCGCTACAACGGAAGTAACTTTAAGGATAAAATTTCATTATTATATTTTATTTACGTTTTCTATGTAGTTTGTACAATTTAAATATATTTTAAATATTTTAGCAAGTTTGGTTAGTACCATACATTTTCTATCTACAAAAATCTTATTCATGTATAGGATTCGGTATTCTATTAAGTATTTTTAAATTATACTATACCAAGAGTATTAACTTCAGTAGTGACGTTTTAAGGACATTGGCGACACTGATGTATACTTAGCACCCTACTGCCATTGTTTGACCAATCCCTCCAAATAACATTATACTCATCAGTCATCACGCCCATATTACGTCCGGGGCAATCGTCTTTTAACCTTTCCACCCATTAAATAGTAAATATGTCCCCGTCAACTGACAGTGAGTGTAACTATATAATGGATACATGCTATATAGTATATATAATGTCTATGTTTTCCAACTGCATTTTTCTAACGTAATCGGAAAAGTTTTCGCTATTTTTATTCATGATTATACTTTGTCTTGAATAATAAATTAAAATAATCAAATTTGATTTCAAAGTAAACAGGGCTTGCAAATATAACCAATGCGTAGTGCTTTTCTTTCTTTATTTTTCTTGTCTCATCTCGTCCATTTGCAGCTGGAGGTTTTTTTTTTTATTTCCCCTGATGCCATTTCGTCAGATTTTGTTACTACGGTAACGTAAAATTCCATTACAAATATTCGCATAAAGTATCAACTTTTTTTTATTTGATGTCTCTTCTACCACTTCTCTTATAATATCGTTCATCTATTCTTACTTCACTTAGATATTATTTTTACATATTTTGTCGTGAATATATTTCTATGTTCTAAAATTTTAGATGTGATAAATAAAACAAATGTAACTATATGTTATATTTGGTACCATTATGTAATTTAATTTGTCATCGTATATTAACGCATAGCGATGTATATAAATATGCACAAAAAAGGGTATATTATTTTTTAATGTTAACATATTTATGAGCCAAGTTACATTTTCTATGCTTGTTTGAGTTGTTTGATTATTTGAAAGTTTAAGAATGATATATTTTGTATCGAGTGATAAAAAATTGAAATGAATCAATATTTTCAACCACATATGTTTTTTTTTTTAGGTTTTTAAGTGAACCTTGAGGGCGTAAAACCAATGTAGAGATTTTTTTTGTTTATTAAATATTATTACATAATCGTTATATAATTATTTTATGATAAGTGTATGTGATGGATTATGTTGTTAAGTGTTGTCTTGAGTTAAGAAACCATCTATTGATGGAACTTAATGTGGTTGAGTGACTGTCTTTAGTCATTCAGAGGTAATAACATATGTATCAATAGATCTAAAAAAAAATACAAATTTAAATACCTGATGATGAGCATAACCGCTTATAAAAATTTCTACATACGTGTGGAAATATAATAATAAATAAAATAAAATATGTATGTAACGGGCAATGTTAAAAGGACGCATATTACAGTGAATAGCGATGTATTAAATGAAGGATTTTAGGTTTCCGTACGTACTGCTACTCTAAGTGCCCGGTGGAAGTTTTTTTTTTTTTTTTTATAAATATTTGCTTTATTCGGAAAATCGATCAACGATCAATGGGTGGCGCGTGGCGTCACATGTGGCGGACGTTTTTGCGCTAACGTTTGAGCGTTAAAGCCATATAAAATACAGTTTGACATAAAACTATTTTATTCCTTTGCCTTTTCGTTTTGCGCTTTGAAATCGCGTAGTTCATATTGTCGACTGTCGCGCTATAGCTACTTATTATAATATATGTAGCTCAGTTTTCGATTAAAATTATTAGGTAACTACTAAGTAGAATAAATTGAATTCCTTGCCGATCATATTATATTTATGAGTAGAGTATATAAGTGCCGGAGAATCTAAGTTTATAACATGTTTGATTTTACGACTCATCATTACAATAAAACTAGAATACAACAGATGTAGGTATTTATAATGATGTATGGTTTTTGACATTTATTATATACGCAATTTTAGTTTGAAATTTAATAAAATAACTGCACAAAATCAGAATATTTTTATTTTCGACTTTGGGTGGTTATTTCATATTTGTTATTTATTTTTTCTTACGTT